GTAGGGAACTCCAAGGCTAGCTAGCCATAACAAAATATGAAAGGAAAAAAAGGTGTGTAAGGTCTCAGGTGGCTGACCAGAGATAAGTGTCTTTCTGGCCAGGCACATGGCTCCTTTCACTCAGGATCCCAAGCCATGACTCATCTCTTGGAGCATGACGGGAGAGTTGAGGAAGCATATACTGGTTCCCAAAAGCTTTTCTGTGTCCCTCCCAATTATACAATTGATGCAATAAAATATATCATCCATAAAAATCTTTGCTTTCTGCTTATGATGTAATTTTTTAAACATTCAAAAGCAATTCCAAATTCTCATACACACCCATGAGGCAAGGATGTGATAGATTTTAAATGGACCTATTAAGAATGCCAATTGGGTTCAAAAGAGAGAGAGAGAGAGAGAGAGGACTTGGCTAATGGAGAGCTGAGAACAAAAATGACTTGGTTTTAATTGATCTCTTTGTCACATGCAGTCCCTCACGTAGAATCCAGCAGGCCTGCCAACTTCCACAAATCAAGTGAGCCTAGGATTTCTAGCCATGGTTATATTTGTAAATGTTATTAAATTCACCCATCTCTTCAAAATATTTTAAAATAGCCTTTGTAACATACATCTATATTCTTTCTTTAATGTGTTCTGTTGTTGTCTATATTGTAAATAATATTCATAAATCTTAATATTTTACATAATTTTTCAAGGTGTATATTTCCCCTAAAAAAACCCTTTCTTTTGAGTCATAGAATTTTTTCAAAGGTCCATATATTACAAGTAGAGCCATCTAACATATTAATTGGACAGAAAGGCATAGTTGAAAGGGTCATTGTACTTCATTCCAAGACAAGCCTTGGAGCCTGTGATGATAGAAGTCCAAGTTTGCTTGTTCCCTGGCTCTTTAAGATCCTGAACAGGGGTGAGGTCTGAGCAGAAATTGGAATAAGTGTTTTGGGAGAGGAGTGTATCAAGAACCAATTGAAAAATTCTTCTAACATCTGTTGCAAAAATATGTAGAAACCTTTGACAATTTTTGTAATGATTCAAAAGTGCCATCAGAAAATCCTCTCTTACCAAGGGAGTCCTTGAGACAAGATAAGTGATCATGGACAGAGATGTACAATCACCAAACAGCTCAACAAATTGGATTGGGAAAGGGAAGCTTTCAGTTCTAATTTACCAATTCAAAATTGGCCTAAATTGACTGAAAGTTATTACCATTTTACACCTTCAGTGGCCTATGTGAATTAATTAGTTGTTTCACTCCAATTTTCAGTAGATGCAAATCTACATAACAAACCACTATCACAGCTGCCAGTAATTGGCATCCCTGCTCAGTCTCTGCAGAGAGTACCTAGGTTTATGTGGAGAATCAAGTACAACATATAGTAGATCCCATTAAAACAAGTATGAGACTCAGTTATAAGGCAGTGCAAAGGCTTGCACTGCCTGTGCCTATGAGGTAGTTGTTCTGTTGTGTTTTTGCACATTTCCCAGTTTTTATTAGTAAGAAATGAGATCACTAAATGTATGACAGTCCTTGTCTTGCATTGTTTCTTGCACTTGAGACCTATTCCCTAATGAAATTCTGAAATGAAATTGTGATTCAAGGATTGCAACTATGACAGAGATAACTATTAAAGAACAATTAATAATTGGTTTGAAGTAGAGTGACCATATTTCCCTGATCTCAAAGTAGAGACACTCCATTCTCTCCTCCTACCACTCTCCAGCATGTTCAGCTAACTCAAAGCTCTGGTTTCAGTTGTGCACATCATATAGCAGGAAGAATGAGTGCAGTGTGCCAGAGAACAGGACGGTCCCATGTTAAATACTTATCCTAGGTATCCCTCTGAAAACTGGACAACAGCATTTATTTGATCAAAACGATGGGACATCCAGGATACATGTTTAACATGTGACTGTCCTAATAGTAATAAAAGTGTGGTTAATTTAGCTTAAAGGGACAGAAGCAGAAGAAAAATACTAGCCTACTTTATTTTGGGGGTCTCTTTTGCCTGTTCTTATGTCAGAATACCAAGAAACAGTACCACATCTCTTCTGTTATATCTGAGTGTGAATACACACAAACCAGAAAGACTACCTATTTGTCTGTGCACTCTAACAGGCTTGCCTTTGGAAAGGGATCCTGCTATAGAATTTTCTTTTCCTGGAATGTGAAATGGTAACAATTCAGTGGTCTTGTTCAACTGAAAACAGAATTTTTAAGGACTGTATTTGGAAGGAAACAGATGTTGGCCCCTCCTTTCTTGTTCAAATAAGCTATTTTTGTATATCTGATAAAACTTCTATGTGCTGACCCTGCAGTAACTGAAGAATTGAATCCAGAACTCCCTGAGCAGCTTACAATTTCAATCTTTTTTAGGTTTCAGCTGGTTCTTTAATTAAAGACCTAACCTGGAAAATTGGCACTTCAACCATCTTTCAAGATATGTCTCAAAAATATTAGTTGGAGGAGAAAAAGAGAGGGAGAGAGAATAGTAGGTATAAAATATCAAGTTAGTGCTAAATAGCCTGCTAAGGTCAGGTCATGAAACATTTCCAACCAAGAACTTTATGTTAGGGGGGTAGACCTACATCTAAAGTTGTCTAATGTAAATTTGCTATTTCATAAGCTGGCAATAAACCTAACACTGGCTATAAACAATAGTGAGAAATCAATTTTGAATCCATTGCTTGTAGTTAAGATTAAAGCTACTCCAGCTTTCCATTATAAGATTGATTTTCTTATAAGATTTCCTAAAGATCAAATATGTTATAGGTAGCACATCTCAGAAATTTAGCTGAACATGATTTTTTTAAATCATTATAATAGTTTTTGGTTCATCTTTCTTCCCAAATGGCTCAGCCTGGAATTCCACCTGTTTTTTGTTTTGCCTTGTTGTAGATAAGTGCCTTTCAACCTGTTTGAGAGTT